ATTTAATATAATCCTAATCGCTATTTCAGTCTTTCTATCTTTCTAATTACTTCTCTCTGTTTTTCTCTCTCTCTATTTTCTCTTCACAAAAAAAAAAAAAAAACATAATGGTGTGGAGGGGATGGCTATTACAGGAGAAGGGAGGCCATCCATAAAAAAAAAAAAGACTGGACCTTCGACAATGTTTATTACTGTGTGTTTGACTGATTGTTAGCAAAATATCATAAACAAATTCTAAGAAACCTGAATCAAGATGGCTGCCACAGACAAGTGACCTTAGTAAACACAAAACTCGGTTCAGAGCTGAACCTTGTGGTAGTAGCTGAGAGTTATCGATAATAGCACAGGACATCTCGCGATATTTTACGAGACTACACCAAACGTTACTTTGTAAAGACTACAAACTGGTATTTTCATGGTTAAGTTAGGGTTAAAGTCCGCGGTGGAACAGGGCGGGCGACATGCATTTAGTTCCCGTTCAGTCCGAGGTGTTCGGGTCAGGTCACTGAGCGGAACCTTGAGCTAAAGTTGCGGGTCAGTGAATGACACACGACACGGCGGAGGCAGAAAGGTCTTACCCGGGCTGTGGACCGAGCTCCTCGCAAACAGATTCTCAACATGCTCCTCACTTCTTCGTATTCTTATTATTTGTTCTCTTTTACTCGAACCCCGACCCGAACCCAGTCGCAAAGCAGCACATAAACTCCTCTCACTAGCTCCGGTCCAGACAGCTTCTTCTTCTTTGGTCTGAAGGCATCACTTCCGGTTTAAAACCACCTGTAGAGGCTTTACCGCCACCTGCCGGTGAAACACGCACTGCAGACAGCATTTTTACTGAGCTTAGTGATCCATCATCTTTTTATAAACGATCTTTGATCGTGCTCACTAATTTTTCATAGTAGTTTCAAATTATATCAAGAACTGTTGCCATTTTATTTTTATCATTGCCTCCAATTTGTTTTTCATTGATATTCAAAAATGTGAAATAATATAGTAAATATTACAAGACTTCAGAGTAAAACTGACTTGAGTTAAACCCATGTTTATGTTAAGGTTATTTGGCTGTGGCAGCCATCTTGAATCAGGTTGACTGTAGATGATCATCCAGTTATTTCCTGAAAATTACATTTAAATCCATCCAGTTGTTCAAGATATATTTAGTTAACAGAAACATTTTTACTCACTGCTGTGTGTAACAAATGTAAAATTGTACTTTCAGTACTACTGAATTACAGTATTAGTGTGTAATTAAAATATATATTTTCAATGACAGAGTGTTTAATAAACAGATTAAATGATGAATATGTGTTCTGACATAAATCCAGTCATCAAAGAACAAAACAAACTCAAAGTTGTTCTTTTTTATTTGTAACAATCAAAACAAAAGGTCACATCTGGATAAAAACCAGCTCAGGTCCAGCTCCCAGGTGCTACAGAGTTCCACACAGCTCCTGGTCCTGAAGGTCGGCCCAGTCCCCGGGGTCAGGACCAGTGAGACGGGAGTCTGTCCCAGCACCTAATCTTCCAGCTTGATTAAAAATGTCAAACGTTGCTCTGAAGAAAGCCTCCCTGAGCAGGAGATTGTGTTAAAGTCTAAGAACAAGCAACAAACGAGGAAAGGACACATGTCCAGCTCTACACGCTGACTCAGCAGGTTGTCCCGCCACACGCTGGGATCTGGAACCACGCCATGCTCGTCTACTGGGACGGTTCTGTCTTCTGGACTTTAACTGGAGTCCCCTCACAGTCCTGGTCCTGGACACAGAGCACACACGTGTTGTTTTATGAGGACATGAGTCGTACAGGACACTGCAGTTTGACACTGACACATTCAGAGACAAGCAGCTGCTGTCAGGGACACTTTATGAACGAGGACAGTTGGACAGGAAAAGAACAGTAACTGATCAGGGTTTGTCCACAGTCACATCACATGTCTCCTGATGTGTGGACAGGACTGGACAAGTCAGAGGACAACAGTGTCCACATCCAGTGGACGTCTGAGGACAAGCACATCTGGGGACGTATTGTCTGGTCTTATCAGGTAGAAATTAAGGCTGAATGATTTTGGAAAATAATCTAATTGTGATTTTTCACAAGACAGTGAGTTGGACCGCTTTAGGAAGGGGGAGGGGCTTACTGCATCACTCACTGCTTGCAGAGGAAAGGACAAAGGTAAAAGAATCCAAAACCACAGGGAAAAGTCACCACATTTCTAGTTATTTTTTTTGGAAGGTGGGGGTGGGG